CTGCCTTTTAGTGTCCTAGATATTTTGATATGTTGTGTTGCTATTCTTATTCACCTCTAAGTATTTTTTTAATCTCATTCCTGATTTATTCTGCTATCCATTGGTCATTCAATAGCATATTATTTAGTCTACAGGTGTTGGGGTAGCTTGTATCTTTTATTTTAWTGTTGATTTCTAATTTCATTCCATTATGATCTGATAGAATGCAAAGTATTATCTCTATTTATTGTATTTACTAAGAGCTGCTTTGTGTCCTAAGATATGGTCTATTTTATAGAAGGATCCATGTACTACTGAGAAGAAAGGGTATTCAGTCATTGATGGATGAAATGTTCTATATATGTCTGTGAAGTATAAATTATTAATGGAATTTTTTAAAGCTTTATAGCTTCTCTATTTAGTTTTTGTTTGGAGAATCTATCCAGTGGTGAGAGAGGTGTGTTAAAGTCACCCAGTATTATTATGTTGAGGTCTATTTGATTCTTGAAATTAAGAAGGGTTTGTTTTAATATATGTAGATGCTTCATTGTTTGGGGCATAAATATTTACAATTGTTATGTCTTCCTGATGTATAATTCACTTAAGCAGTATGAAATGGCCTTCTTTGTCCCTTCTGATTAACTTTGACTTAAAGTCCCTTTATCTGATATGAATATAGAAAACTCTGCTTGTTTAGGAGATTCATATGAATGATATGTTTTCCCCGTCCTTTTACCTTCAGTCTGTTGATGTCTTTGCCTATGAGGTGAGCCTCTTGGAGATAGCATATTGTTGGGTTCTGCTTTTTAATCCAATCTGCCAGTCTATATCTTTGATTGATGAGATTAAGTAATTTACATTCAATCTTATTATTGGAAAATTATTTTTATTCCCTTACCATAAACACAGTAAATTTTCAAAAAGTGTTCACAATTTATAGAACAGAAGTGCTATAGGACATGATTATCAGGGAGAGGAGCAAAGACAGAAGTAAAAAATTAAAGGAAGAGTGAATGGAAGAATAATAGAGATTGGCTGTTAGCAGAAGACAAAGAGAGAAAGAAGGGAAACAGAAAAGTGAGAGAATATATATATATACACACACACACACACACACACACACACAAACATTTAAAAAATTACAAATAAAAGAATGAAAAATAACTGAAATATACTAATTGAACTTCCTAGTCCTCAAAAAAACTGATCAATGAAAAATAACTTACATCAAAAATTCTGTCTGGTCAGGCATGGATTGTGAGTTCAAAGCCAGCCTCAGCAAAAGCAAGGAGGTAAGCAGTTCAGTGAGACCATGTCTCTAAATAAAATACAATGTAGAGCTAGGGAAGTGGCTCAGTGGTCTAGTGCCACTGAATTCAATCCCTGGTACCCTCCCCTCAAATGCATTCTACTCTCATGTGTAACTAATTAGAACAAATGAAAAAAATAATTAAAAATTCTAAAAATGAGAAACAGTACCAAATATGAGTGTATGAATGTCCATGAACCATTAAGATCACAAATGAACATAGAAAAGGGAAAAAAAAAAGATCTTGATGAAAAGTTACGGAGTTGTTTCTGTTGGAGTTCAAAATATTCTGAGCTTCCCTTCTCAGCAGTTTTAGGTGGGTCGCTGGAGTGTGATGCTTGCTCACTTCAGGGTTAGGTTGCTGGAGTGACAGAGGTAATCCCATAGGCAGAATTCCCAGAGTCAGGATTTAGGCTTTGGTAGGCTCCATGTTCTTCACTGAATGCCATTTAGTCTGGAGATTTTAAATCAGCACACCAGGGCCCAGCTATTGCCAGTTGCTGGAGGACTATACGCTGCAGCACTATACCCCAAAGATCTCCCCTGGCTTCCATGTGGTGGAGGAGCTAATTCTTAGTTATTGCATTACCTGTGGACCCCACATTTCCTGGTCTCTGGTTTAGTCTCCAAAATCAATATCTCTCACCCCTACTCTTTTGGAATACCAGCCAGGTGAGTCTCTCTCAGCCAGTTCTGTAAGCAGATAGTTTGGAGGGGGAGAGGGAGAGCCAGGTGCATTTCCTTGACCTGTTATCCCCTGTGTAAGTCTCTTTCCACATTTGATTTTCTCCTTAGGCACATTCCATGTTGTGCAGTGTGGGTTTCCCAGGCCTGTATTTTGAACCAAACTCAGATTTGCCAGAAATCAGCTTCAGCTGCAAAATGGTTTCTTCCTCTGTCCTCCACATGCAGTCGAGATATATTTGGCTTCTTTCTGGCACAAGGAAAAGTTTAGTTGGGCAGTTTCTTTCAGTTGAATGGGGCGGTGTCTTTGATTGCTAAACTCTCCATGCCCAGACACACCTCAGGGCTTATCCCTCCGCTTTGCTCACAGATAGACCACTCTGGGTGGTGCCTCCAACTGTGGCAGCAGCTGTGGCTCTGGGGATTTATTTCTTATTTTATTATATCTAGTCTCCTGAGTCCCCTGCTTTGAATATCAAATATTAAATTCCAGTAAAGAATGCCCCCTCCCCCCTTTTTTTGTTCACCCACCTTGCTGAGAAGCTGCCTATTTGCTTTCTAGATTTCATTCCATGGAGCAGCCAGGAAAGTGACCTTCTCTATTCCACTATCTTGAAAACCCTCCTCAACTCTTTCTCTACCTCCCTACCTCCCTCTTTCCCTCCTCCATATATACCCCCCACACTTACTCGTTCCCATCTACTGCCGGCATTACAAGAGGATTGTCCTAAGGATTAAAACCAAGATAGTGGACAAAATTATTGGTTTTAGGCTTTCCATACTGAATTATGCCCATTGTTCAAGTGGATGCCAAACAATTTACCCTTTTAATCCATTTGTTTCTAGCATTTCAGGTTGATACATTTGTACCTAGGCATGCTGCTCCTTTGGTTTTATTTCATGTTATCTCTACATGGCTGAGTTGATCTGTATAGCCCAAATGGACCCCTATGCCTTGGAGGGTCCTCCCTGTGTAAACCCCTATTAGAGGAACCCTGTGAGGAAGGTGGCACATTGCTCCGAGTACTTTAAGCAGGTGCTCATAAAGTTGTGGTCACTCAACTACACAGTAGTCTTGCATGGGAGGGAGAGGTATCAAAATACTCATTTAAAAGACAAACTGTGGGCTGGAAATATACCTTATTGGTAGAGCACTTGCCTAGCATGTGTGAGGCCCTGGGTTCAATCCCTAGCACTGCAAAAAAAAAAAGAGAGAGAGAGAGAGAGACAGACAGACAGACAGACAGACAAATTATGAAGAGTTGAGTCAAAAGATCCTACAAGTTATCATCCCAAACTCTCTTAAAATAGATATAATTATTATTTATACTCTTGTTGGGAGCAGAGTCAGAACTCACATTTCTCACTCTCAAGTTGTTTACCTTTCTTGCTCCTTCTTTTTACCTGAGTGCTTGTAACATATGCTGAAGGTTCTAATTCAGGTGCCTTTCCTACCTAGAAAACAGTTCTTGTCTATGCTCCAACAGCTTCCTGTACTTCCCTGGCTTTCTTTATTTACTTCTTAAAATACTAAATTTAATTTACATCTCATCTCCCCTAGTCTGTAAGGTCGATGAGGACAAAGACTATCTCTTTTATTTATTTTCATATTTCTAGCACCTATCATGGTGCTGAGCATATGTACCTCAGTTGGTTTTATTAATTGAGTTGCAAGACTCAAAGATGTGCAAAATATAAGAGCCCGTCAGGATTCCAGGTTCTCTTCAAGTACTTATTCATGAAACTCTGGAATTCGATGAATATTTGAGAGACTGATGAAGATTCATATCTATCTCTTTAGTTTAGATGACTTTTGCATCAGTGGGACACAATATAATATTAGCATCATTGAGAAATGCTGGAATCTGTTGTAGACTACTGAGAGAAATGAACAAAAATTATGCAATACAAATGACAGTTTAATATGTGCTACAGACTAACAAAGAAACTAAGGAATGCCTAAGAGGATGTTGAATATGACTTTCCTCTTGCCTCAGAAATCACATCTAGAATCCCACAACAGAAGGTCAAAATATTCCTCTTTCCAAAGCCAATCAGTTTGGGCCAGATGATACTTCCTAAGAGATCTTCCAATTTTAACTATCACTGGAGAATATCCACCTTCCTTCCCATTCTTTAATATATTGAGGAGAGGGCTGGCAATATAGCTCAATTGGTAGAGCACTAGTCTAGCATGTGTGAGGCCCTGAGGCCCTGGGTTCAAATCCCAGTAAAGAAAAACATAAAACAAAACTCTGTGAGGGAAGTGAATGTTTCAGTTATCTATTGCAGGTACTTTATTATCTGTCATGATTTCTGCTGATCAGGGATTTGGAAAGGGTGTGAGTGAGTGATTCTGACTCTGGGCGTCTCATATACTTGCATACAGGTAGGTGGAATAGCAGGGGGCTGTAGTAAGTGGGGCTGACCGGGCATTTCTTTCTTTGTCTCAAAACCTCTTCCTGTGGTTTCTCTACATGGGCGAGTTTGAGCTTCCTCACAGCAGTCAGACTGCTTATCTGGCAGCTCAGGGCTACATGCAGGAGTATTCCAGCCAGGAAGGCACAGTTCTGGGACCAAGACTCAGTGTGCCACTTTTGCCGTACTATGTTGCCTGAAACAGTCATGAAAGCCTGTCTACTTTCAATGAGAGGGGACATAGACCCTCCCCTCCTCTCTATCTAAATATGTCAAACATTTAAAAAAAAAAAAAAAAAAGCCAAACATGGGGCTGGGATTGTGGCTCAGTGATAGAGCACTTGCCTAGCATGTGTGAGATACTGGGTGTGATTCTCAGCACCACATATAAATAAATAAACAAACAAGTAAATACAAAGGTCCATTGACAACTAAAAATATCTATCTATCTATCTATCTATTTTTTTTTCCATTTTCAAAATGCATCACTTTATTTTCCTCACAAGGTGGCCACATATTATAAACCTTAGGCATGTGACAGTGACATGATTTCTTCAGCAAGCTCCAAGGTTTCAGCAAGCTTTCCTGGAGTTTACAGCCAGAAGAGTCCTGAGGTTTCAAATATTAAAGCTTTCTCCACAGCCACAAGTTCCTTTGATGTTTGGGTTATTGAAGACAAACTCACTGGATAATTTGTCTTCAACATAGTCCATTTCTGTTCCTAAAAGTGTCAGCTGTGCTTTCTTTTCGATGAACACTCTGACTCCATCTTGAACAACTTCTTCATCAGAATCTCCCTTTGTCTTTGTATATTCCAGARTGTAAGAAAGGCCATTACAACCCCTAGTTCGGACACCRACTTTCACACCTACGTGCTCAGGCTTATCTTTAAGAAGCTGTTTTATCTTGTTTACTGCTGAAGGTGTCAGGGTGAGGGCGGCTCGGGTGGGCTGCAGCTTCCTCTTGCTCACAGCCCGGACAGTGGCCCGGACTAACGAGGCCGACATCTTCCACGTTCCGGCGCCCAGGTGCCTCGGGCGGGCCGGAGCTCGGCCACCTCAACCTCTCTCCATGGACACCGCGGGCGCATTGATATCTATCTATTTTTAAACCCAAACATAATATGGGAGATACTAGAAACGAGATTACTGATTCTCTGAATCAGTAATACTGAAGGTATATCTGGTCACAGGGATCATATTAACAGTCATGGGGCTTTGTTCTAAGAAGAATATGCTTTTTCCATGTAGGGAAAGGTCACCAGATCATTATTTGTAACTGTTGGGTGTGCCTTCTCATTCCCCACTTGGAAATCTGCCTAGACAGCACATTTTAATTGTCCTTTGCTTTCCTGAGCACAGAGAATGTAGGAGAGGAGTCCAGTGATAAGTGATTCTTATCAACTCTGTTTAGAGTGGCAAGGAGAGGTGAGTTTCCTGGGGCCAAGAAAGTACTGACTGTTAGTTTCTCCCCAGGAGAGCTTCTGAACAGGCAAGCAGGCCAAACAACAAAAATCTGTGGACTATAAGCCTCAGGATACGGTTTTCCCATAAGGGGGATGTGTGCATTGAGGAGAGCCTAGAGAATTTACATGGTATAAACTGCATTTGCATACTTGCAACCTAGAGGGTATCTCAATAAAGACATGAGCTGAGGGAGAATTCCAATAAGTATCCAGGCCAGGGCTCAATCTGAGATGCAGAACCAGCAGGAAATTCATTATAAGGAATTGGCATATGCTCTTGTGGGCCTGGATAAGTAAGTCTGAAGTCTGTGGCAGGCAGGTGGGCAGGAAGGGGAGATTAAGAACTAGTTGATGCTGGGCATGCTGGAGGCCCTGGGTTCAATTCTCCATAAGGCAGGAAGCAAGTTGGAAACCCATAAGCATGGCTGAAGTCTGTTGTCCACAAGCATTAAGAAAAGATATATCATGAGCAGGTTAGAACTCAAATATTTTGAAATCTCTGAATTTAAGAAAGGACTAGCTCCCTTTTAAAGGACTGACCTAATTAAGTCAGGCCTATTCTCACTTTAGTCTATTTTTCATAAAGTTAACTGATAGGGGACTTGTATCACATCTGCAAAATCCCTTCACAGTATTATTTAGATTACTGTCGTTTTGTTTTTTGTAAGCGCTAGGCAAGGGTTTTACTTCTGAGCAACTTCAGCCCTAGATTTGTGTCTGCTTAAGTAACTGGGGACTGTAGTTCAGTCTAGCCACGTTTACAGATCAAAAATTCATTATATGACAGCAGTACATATGTGCCAGTACACCAGAGGAGATAGAGCCTAGAAGAATGAGACAGAAGCTTTTGAGAGAAATCTGTCTCCTTTCTATGGCCTTCAAAGGGAGGAACTAGGAGGAATGAAATAGCAACCACAGCTCCTCCTTCTTCATGTCCCTGGACCTATAGATCTGACTTGAAGTTGGAAAGGGAAAGCTTTGAATGGATATAAAATAAAACTTTAACAATGAACAGTGAATGGAAAGTTATGGAATCTAACTAAGATAGGATGAAGATCATTTTTGTCCATCAAAGAAGGGAAATGTGACGTAGCATATTTGGTTATGGTACCTGGAAACAAAATTACACTGAGTTGAATCAACTAGATAACAAAATTATTAGATTATGAAAATTAGATGGGACGAACTACTGCAGATGTTTAAACATGAAGAAGGAGGAGGAGGGGGCTGGGGTTGGAGCTCAGTGGTAGAGCACTCACCTAGCACGTGTGAGGCCCTGGGTTTGATCCTCAGCGCCACAAATAAATAAATAAATAAAGTAAAGGCATTGTGTTCAACTATACCTAAAAAATTGAAACAAAAAAAAGTAGGAGGAGGAAGAAAAGGAAGAGGAGGAGGAGGAGGAAACAAATGGCTGGAGAAGTCAGGAAAAGCTTGTTTCTAAAGATAGAATTTGTATTGGACCTTAAAAGATGAGCAGTGTTTAAAAAGTTTGAGCAAAAGGGAGTCAGTGAGAATAAAGGCTTAGGAAATGATATGTGCACATATGGAATGAGGTCAGGGATTGCTGGACTAATTGCTCAGAGCAAAGTTTTTGTGTTAAGGAACTAATTATTGATAGGTGCTATATTAAGCAGAGTATTGAGACAGAGGCAGAGGAGTTGAAATTTGATAAGGTAGAGAGTAGTTCTATAATGAACTCTAGGTTCTTTCCTTGAGGAAAGCTTTGAGGAAAGTTTTTGTTTCTTTTGAATCTTTTAAAAACAGAGTAATGTGACAGTGGAAAAATATAGATGGGTTTTAGAGAAAGATTGGGATTCAAAGAGGGTAGTTAGGATGTCTTTGAGTTATTTTTTCATTATTGTGACCAAAATACTTAATGAGAACAACTTAGAGAAGGAAAGGTTTATTTTGGGCTCATGGTTTTTGAGATTCAACCTACGATTGGCCACTCCATTGCTCTGGGCCAAAGATGAGGCAAAAACATTATGGTGGAAGTGTGTGGTAGAGGAGAGCTGCCCAATTCATGGCAGCCAGGAAACAGAAGGAGCAACTTGACCCAGGATAAGAAATAATCCCCAAAGATACACTCCCAGTGATCTACTTCCTTCAGCCTCATCCCACCTGCCTATAGTTACTACCCAGTAGTCCATTTAAATTATTAATTCATCAAATAGATTAATCAAATGGATTAATCCACTATGAGGCTAAAGCTCTCATAATCTAATCATTTCATCTCTGAACATTGTTACATTGGATATCATATTTCTGACACATGAGCTTTTGAGGGAACACTTCATATCCATAATATTTTGCCCCAGACCCCTAAAATCTCATGTTTATCCTACAGTACAAAATGCATTCAGTTCATCTCCAAGAGTCCTCATAGTGTTAATAGTTCCAGCATTGCCTCCAAAGTTTAAGTCCAAAGTCTCCTTCAAGACTCAAAGCAAACTCTTGGCTGTGAGACCCTAAAAAAATCAAAAGCCAGTTACATGCATCCAATATATAGTGGCAAAGAATAAGAATTCCCATTCCAAAAGAAAGGAATAAGTGCTTAAAAAGAAGGGATGGAACCAGCGCAAGACCAAAACTCAGCCAAGTAAACATTAGGTTCTGTAATTCCCTGTTTGGCATCCTGTGTACCTGGTGATGAGATGTGAACTCCAAAGGGCTTGGGCTGTCCCACCTTTATGGCCTTGTTGGTAAGGCCTAGATGCAGCCCAGATGGCCTTCCTCTTAGGCTAGCTCTCTCTGCAGCCAACAGCTTTTCTTTGCAGATGTTCCACATTACTGGCATCTCTTAATCCTTGGGGGTCTTCACTACAGTTTTGGCTTAATTCTCACAGTTTCATGCATTGCCCTCACAGAGATTTAGACCTTGTCACATTTTGCTTGGCCTCCCAGGTCTTCCTTTGTGAATCTAAACCTCTAGCGTCCTGCATTCCTGCAGAACCAACAAGATATACTACCAGATAAAGCAGTGGCCAGGTCTTTTTGGACCATGGATGCAGTGGCATCTGAGTGTCTGGGCAGCTGAATGCAGTAAAATTAATCCTGGGGAGACAACTTTCTCTTCACCACTGTGTGAGCAGGTGACCCCATCCACAGGTCTTTTATCAGAGAAAGAGGTTTTACCCTTGAGCCTGTGGGTGTGATCTTGCTGATTGCTGAGATTCCCTCAAGGCATATTTTCTATTTTCTTTGTGGAAGGTACTTGGCTTCTTTTTAGTGGAGGTACTTTCTTCAACAACCACACCTTCCTTGTGTCCAGTTTTTCACATGCCTTTATGGTCAAACTGCAAGTTTTAAAATCTTCTCTGCTTTCTGCTGGTTATTCTCATAGTAAACCTGATAACAAACATCCAACAATATCAGTGCCAGTTCCTGAATGCTGTGCTGCCTTGAAATTTCCTCTTCCAGATTAACAAGTCCATCACCTTTAATTTGGGCCTCACATACAAAGTCTCAAGACATGGGCAAAATGTAGATGAGTTATTTGTCAGAAAGTAACATATGTGGCCTCTAGTCCGATTCCCAAATAGAGTCCTCATTCCCTTTTGAAACCTCATGAGCACAGTCTTTACTGTTCACATTCCTATATATATTGTGGTCTTCTGAGCTCTCACCAGAATAGCTCATTAAGCTTTGCTTACAAGATTCTAAGGTTTTTCCAGCCTGTGTCTCTGAACTTTTCCAAACTCCTTCCATAAATCAGTTCCAAAGGCTTCTGAACCAAATGGTCAGGTTAGCCACAGCAATGATCCTACTCTCAATATCAATTTCTGTGTTAGTCCACTTTTCATCACTGTGACTAAAATACCTAATAAGAGCAACTCAGAGGAGGAAAAGTTTATTTCAGCCCATATTTTCAGAGATTCACTTCATGGTCAGCTTGATTCATGGTGTTTTTTTTGTTTGTTTGTTTGTTTGTTTCCCCATGCTCTGGGTCGAAATGAGGAAGGGCATGGTGGAAGAAAGCTGCTGAGCTCATAGCAGCTGGGAAGGAGAAAGAGAGCAAAGATCTAGGGACAGGATATAATCCCCAAGGGCATATACTTAGTGACCAGCTTCCTTCAGCATTGCCCCACCTGTCTTCAGTTACCACCTATTAGACCATTCAAATTAATAATCCATCAAATGGATCAATCCACTGATGAGGTTACAACCATAATAATTTAATCAGTTCACCTATTAATATTGATTGCTACCAACACATAAGCTTTTCAGTGGTTTCTTTCATATTCAACTGTAATGGGATGTGGTTGCAGTTATTTTAGATAGGAATGGACAATAACTTGACCCAGAATCATAAAAGTAAAATGGAATTGGAGGAAAAGGCAAAATATGAGGAATATTTCAAAGACAAAAACAGTAATATTGATGACCAAATGGGAGTGTAATGGCAGAAATAATAATTTAGAGTATTCTTTGATTTCTAGTTTGAGGGTCTAAAAGAATGGTGACATCACAAATATAAATGAGAAAATAGGAAAGGAAAATCTACTCGGGAGAACAAGGCTATTAATTCAATTTGAGGTTATTAAAGCTGAAACCATGATTTGAGGTGGAATGTTCTAGAAGTTGGAAATAAAGAATAGTCAGATTAGTCTGATAGGGGCATATTGGAAGGGCTGAAAGGGATAGGTCCATGCTAAGAAACTGAAGGACTTGGGGGAATGTATGGTGTTTTTTTCCCCATGACTTTCCAGCCAAAGGCAGTCCCTTTTAAAAGAAAAAAGAGTAAATAGAATAGAACAGTTGGCTCTCCAGATGGTGTCAAAGAACAGAATTAGATTTGATTTCTGGGCCATGGCTTAAGATCCTGAAACTGATGAGTTTGGGCAAGGAACCAGGGAGTCATGAGGACAAAAAAAAATTTCTTTTTCTTCTCTTTCATTTTCTATTTTTTTAGTGGGAAAAAAAAAGGAGTCACTGGAAAGGAATTAGGAAATTTTTCAAAGGAAGAAAGGAAGGAAAGAAAGATAACTGAATGAGCAAATACTGGTCTAAAAGAAAGAATCACCCAGTGTAAAAACACATAATGTTTCATAAGATAATTATAGATGAAAGAAATCAAATTTATTGCTAATACTTATTGAGAGTTTATTTGTATGCTGGCACTGTGGCTTGTTTTTTATATGCATTATTTCTTTACTCCTTATTTAACAAAATGAAGCTTAATATTTTTCTTATTCAACAACATGTCATAGACATCTTTCCATGTCAGTAAAGATCCACATTGTCATTTTTAATGGATCCATAGCATAATATTCCATTGTATAAAGGGTTATCTTTGTTAGCTTTAATGATACTGCATATACCTCCTCACACTTTTTGTATGCTCTTTTTTCCTTAAGTAACAGATGAAATTTTACACTAGTTTTTTTTTTAAGTATTTATWTTTTAGGTGTAGATGGACACAACACAATGCCTTTATTTATTTATTTTTTTATGTGGTGCTGAGGATTGAACCTGGGTCCTGCCCATGCTAGGCGAGCGCTCTACCGCTGAGCCACAATCCCAGCCCCTACATTAGTTTTTAATTTAATTTTTTTTAACAATATCATGATTCAAAAATAAAAATATGTAAAAGTATGCTACAAAAAGATTTTCTTCTATTCTTCTTCCCTGTACCACCCCAACCACTATTAGTTTATTTTGTTTATATTCAGCCATAATTTTGTTATATAAGGAAATATAAATAAGTTTTCTTACTTTTTTTTTTTTTTTGGTGGTAATTGTGTTTGAACCCAGGGCATCTACAGCCCCACCCATTTTAAAAGTTTTTTTTTTTTGAGACAGGATCTCACTAAGTTTCCAGGCTGACTTTGAACTTGCAATCCTCCTGCTTCAGCCTCCAAGTAGTTGGGATTATAGGTACACATCATCACAACCAGTTCTTTTCTATTTCCTTCCCTTCTATTTTTATTCAGAATGTAAAAAGCATCTTGTAATCACCTTTTCATGGTGATATTGCTTAATACAGAATCTCAATATATGATGCAGGGATATTGCTTAATACAGGATCTCAACTACTTCTCAGAAAAGTTGTACATTTTTTATTCTCACCAACAATTCATATACTGCTAAACTCATTTTATTTTTTAATTTCAGTGTATTTTTATATTTGAAAGTGTATGACAAATATAGAGTAAAATCACTATAACTGGTAATATAAGGTGGATTCCTGCATTATACCAAATTGATTACACAAAGGACTTTGGACTCATCTACTTATAATTTATAACATAGACAAATGGTCACAATGAAAAAGAAAAGTTTGATTTAAGTTGTTATTGATTTCTCTGTGTTTTTGGATGAATAGAGAAATGGGTAGGAATGAAAGAATGGAAAAAAATATTATGTCATGTAAAGCTGAGAAATAAAGCTGGATCAGACAAGAATAAGCAGGATGAGAAATTGGGACAAATCTAAGATGGGAGTAAAAAAAGGGTAGAAGATTCCATTGTGCTCCATACATGTGATAAGCATATTTCCAGATCATCTTGTCCTATATTTTTTATAGACTCCTGTTATAATCTCTTTTTGTCATTGAAGTGGGGCATGTTATTATAACAGAAATTCTTTATTCAATGAAATGAATATGACATTTGTCTCTTTTATTTTTAATAGAATTGATTATCTGAAAAAATGGATACTTCTCCATCCAAAAAATATCCAGTTAAAAAACGGGTGAAAATACATCCCAACACAGTGATGGTGAAATATACTTCTCATTATCCCCAGCCTGGGGAAGATGGATATGAAGAAATCAATGAAGACTATGGAAATTTTATGGAAGAAAATCCAAAGAAAGGTTTGCTGAGTGAAATGAAAAGAAAAGGAAGAACTTTCTTTGGAACCATGGATACTCAGCCTCCACCAACAGAAGACCCAATGACCAACGAGATCGGACAATTTCAGAGCTTTGCAGAAAAAAATATTTTTCAATCCCGAAAAATGTGGATAGTGTTGTTTGGATCTGCTTTGGCTCATGGATGTGTAGCCCTTATCACTAGGCTTGTTTCTGACCGTTCTAAAGTTCCATCTTTAGAACTGATTTTTATCCGTTCTGTCATGCAAGTCTTATCTGTGTTAGTTGTGTGTTACTACCAGGAACCTCCCTTTGGACCCAGTGGATACAGATTACGACTCTTCTTTTATGGTGTATGCAATGTTATTTCTATCACCTGTGCTTATACATCATTTTCAATAGTTCCTCCCAGCAATGGCACCACTATGTGGCGAGCCACAACCACAGTGTTCAGTGCCATTTTGGCATTTTTACTTGTAGATGAGAAAATGGCTTATGTTGACATGGCAACGGTTGTTTGCAGCATCTTAGGTGTTTGTCTTGTCATGATTCCCAACATTGTTGATGAAGACAATTCTTTGTTAAATGCCTGGAAAGAAGCTTTTGGGTACACTATGACTGTGATGGCTGGACTGACCACTGCTCTTTCTATGATAGTATACAGATCCATCAGGGAGAAGATCAGCATGTGGACTGCACTGTTTACCTTTGGTTGGACTGGGACAATCTGGGGAGTGTCTACTATGTTTGTTCTTCAAGAACCCATCATTCCATTAGATGGAGAAACATGGAGTTATCTCATTGCTATATGCATCTGTTCTACTGTGGCATTTTTAGGAGTTTATTATGCCTTGGACAAATTCCATCCAGCTTTGGTCAGCACAGTACAGCATCTGGAGATTGTGGTAGCTATGGTCCTGCAGCTTCTAGTGTTACACATATTTCCTAGTGTGTATGATGTCTTTGGAGGGGTGATCATTATGATTAGTGTATTTGTTCTCGCTGGCTATAAACTTTATTGGAGGAATTTAAAAAGGCAAGATTATCAGGAAATACTAGACTCTCCCATTAAATAATACCTGGTTATTGTAATTTTGTTAATGCTCAGTTATTAATATGTACACTGCCAACTTAATGTTTACCTATAATGTCTTTATGTTATATAATTCAGAGTGCTATATAATATATAATAAATATAGTAGAAAAATTATTATAGTGTAATATATTCAAATATAGATATTAAATATGCAAAATATGTCAAGAACATGGTGTCTTTACATTTATTAACACAGGGTGATTGTGAAATGTTAATTTCCACTGCAAAGGTCACAAAACTCGAAGAAGTGACTTTTTTTTTTTAAAGATTATTTTTAAGATGGACACAATATCTTTTCTTTATTTATTTTTATGTGGTGCTGAGAATTGAACCCAGTGCCTCACATATGCAAGTGCTCTACTACTAAGCTGTAACCCCAGCCCCAAGAATTGACTTTTTCAGGTGAAACTTCTGTGGTCCCACAAGCTCCCAAATTTGAAAAATGCTCACATCCAACGTTTTACAAATATTCAACAAAACCCTTCATTGTTCAAAATCTTCATTTGTGAAAAGAATAATATAGGGTCAAATGTTGAACACTAAGTGCTATTTTGTCATCTACTTGCACTAGAAAACTAGAGATGACAGAGGTAGGTAAAAGAGTTTGAGTTGAAGCAAGAATGAGAGAACAAAGGAAAGGAGCTGGTTTTCAATGACAAGGGTCCAATGTTAGAACAGGAAATTGGTCCTCCCTTTGCTACAGCCACATTAGGCAATGCATGGGAAAGGGATATTGGGAGAAGGCTGAATTCTTGCCAGCTTTACATAATTCATGTGCCTGATGGTGGGAGACCTAACATTGGAGCAGGATCTGTTTATCCTTAGCTATCTTTCAAATCTGCCCTTGTTCATGATTTCATGGCAGGTATATAAGTGAGCTCCAGCAAAGTTACTTCTTTTGATGATTACCAACAATAATCATAATATAGCAGAAAATTGACATGGTGTCTTTAGATCCTTTTCAAAAGGGCCCAAAGTCTATAAAAGCATTGACTTTATTTTAGGCCAGCAATGGCACCACTATTAATTCTGCACAAATGTTGAAATGGGCCTGTTTTTTAAACTATTGTCTTTTAGCTGCAAATTCTCTTAGCTCACCTCTCTATACTTTCCTGTAGAATGCCATGGCACAGACCTATAATCTACAAATTTCCTATGTTAGCTGGTGTTCCTAGGTTCCAGCAATGAAGGACCCTAGAGGGAGACTGGAAAATGAAAGGGGAGAAGGGACTTCCTTTGCTTATAGTTCCTGTCACTGTTACCCAAGCCATTAGCAAGCACTCTTTGCTTCAGCAGGAGGTACTGAATTTAGCCTTGAGCTTCTTTTGGCATTGCCCCTCCCTGCAAACTACTAGCCTTATCAAATCCCTCCCAGAAGTAGCAGGACCAAAAGAAAAAAAAAAAATAGTAGCCTGATAGCCTCTTCTCAGGGGTCTGAGCTGTGGTTCCTCTGGTTCATTCCTCTGAGCTTCTGAGACTTGATAATCCAACTTTGATTATCCTTTTCCCTGGCCATAGGGGTGGTAGCTGCTCCATGCAGTTATCACCTCTGAGAGGGTTACTTCATGTTCCCTTTTTTCCTGTCCATCAACAGCCCAAATTAAATTTTCTCTGTTGTAATATCTTGTGATTTTTGTTTTCATGATTAATATGTCTCCAAATCTTCCTCCAAAGAATTCACAGTCACTAATTATAAGGCATCTGTACTTTGGGAAAATGTCAACATTTAGATTTTTCAAGGATTACTAGACATTGGTTCTCAATAGCAATTTTGCAAATTGAAGCACAGACAGAAAAAGATTTAAAGGGAGTGTGGGGCTGAGAACAGGGCCTGAATGACATGAACTAAGAAATCTGGCATAATTGTAACTATAGTCCCAGAAGAAGAAAAGAGAGGGAATGAAGCAGGAAAAAAAAAATTCAGAGGCAGTAAAAATATTGACTACTCTTTTTCCAAATTTGATAAAAGAAATAAAGAAGGAAAAAAGCAGAGAAAGAAAGAAAGAAAATAAGTTAAACCCACCAACTCAGAGATCCAGGGAACTAAGTAAACCCTAAGCAGCATAAATGCAAAGAGAAATAATACCTACAAACAGTGTAACTGTTGATAACTGTATAACTACTATTATCAGTAAGGCTGCTGATAAACAAAGATAAAGAAATAAAATCTTAAAAGCAACCAGAGAAAAACACATGATATAGGAAAAATAATGTCAAGAATTACAATTAGCTTCTCAGCGGACACATTGGAGGCCAAAAAATAACAGAGTGACTTTTTTTGGTTTTGTTTTTGGTAATACTGGAGATGGAACCTGGGGCCTTTGTGCACATGAGACTAGCTCTCTATCAGTGAGCTACATCCTCAGTCCTGAGAAGTTTTAAAGGACTGAAAGAAAGCCCTTCAATGACTTTTCATTGTCCTTAGGATAAACATTAAGGTTCTTGACTTCCATAACCTATTGCTTACTATTCTAATCATCTTCTTCTCCAGCAAATAGTGTTGTTTAGTGCCTTTTATTAAGTAGAAAATCTTTCTTTTTGCCTAGTTAATTGTCTCACTAGCTTGATCACAATTTGTTCTCTTGGATCTTAATGTCCTCCTTATACACATATATTGTTATTTATTATTATAATAATGTCTACATAAATCTCAATTTCTGACACTGGCGTGAGCACTTATAAAGTGCTTTAAGTGTTTTTTAGATATCCAGTACCTACTGTAGTCTCTACTACTGAGTGAACCCTTAACACATTTTTATTATATTAATTCCCATAAAAGCATAACAGTGCTGAATCTAAAAATTAAATTTAGTACCAGGAGTCTGTAATTTCTATACCTTATAGTCCAGCCTTGCTAATTGGTACGTAGGACTTTTTTTTTTCCCTAAATACTTATGTATGACAGTTATTCTCTCCAATTAGTTTTGACTATAAGCCCTCAATAATTTCCTGGGAAAGGTCTTGAGACATGAAGGTTCACTTTTCACTTCCTTGTTTTCTGATACTTTCTTTCGGGATTAATGAAGGAAGCTGTCTGCATGTCTTTATCTTAGACATTTGCTACCTACATCCAGTCCATAGGTCATCAAGTTTTTTTTTTGTGTGTGTGGTACTGGAGATTGAGCCCAAGCATCCTCTACTACTGAGTTGTATTTTCAGCCACTTTTTGATTTTGAGTCAGGGTCTCACACAGTTTCCCAGGCTGGCTTTGAATATATGATCTTCTTGCCTTGGCCTCCTGAATCACTGGGGTCATAGGCATGTATCATCACACCTGGGTAGGTAATTGAGTATTTTTTTTTTATTTTAGAGAGAGAGAGAGAGAGAGAGAGAGAATTTTTTTAAAAAATATTTTTTAGTTTTCGGCGGACACAACATCTTTGTTTATATGTGGTGCTGAGGATCGAACCCGGGCCGCACACATGCCAGGTGAGCGTGCTACCGCTTGAGTCACATCCCCAGCCCAGGTCATTGAGTTTTGACCCAAGTTTGTTGTTGGTTAATTCTAGTTAGTCTCTGGTCCATTCAGCACTAATTAACAAGGATGATTCTTAAGCCACTTGCCTGTTTGGAAGCTAGGAAGATAAGAGTGTGTGAAACTAAGTCTCTTAGACAACTTCTACCCCATAAGAACACGACTTTATTTCTTCTAAGTGTAATTCAAACAAGACTTTCTGACTATCTATCCTTCCAGTCTATGCTTCTCTCTTTCACTGTTTTCTTTTCTTCAACTCCTCTTGCATATATATATATATATATATATATATATATATATTACGTATATATATTGTGTGTGTATGTGTGCTTGCGCGTGTGTGCACATGCACATCTGTCTTTTTGGTTTTGGCAGTACAGGGAATTGAGGGTCTAGCACATGCTAGGCAAGTGTTCCATCACTGAACTACATCCTCAGTTCTTTTTTTTTTTTTTTTTGGTTCTGGAGATTGAACCCAGAGGTGCTTTACCACTGAGCTTCATTCCCAGCCCTTTTTTAAATTTTGTGACAGGGTCTCACTAAGTTGCTGAGGCTGGCTTTGAACTTGTGATCCTCCTACTTCACCTTCCCAAGCCACTGGGATTATAGTTGTGTACTACTGTGACCAGCCTCTAGTGTTTTTTAAAACAAAATATTTTATTTTGATAGGATCTCACCAAGTCCTGGTGACTGGCCTTGAGCCTCTGGCTCATTTGGAGCTGCTTTTTTTTTTTTTTTTTTTTCTTTTATGGTGCTGAGGATCAAAACCACACCCTTGTGCAAGCTAGGCAAACACTCTACACTGAGACTCCACCCCATACATAGCCCCAAACATCTTTTATTGCTTAAATAGATGGCATATAATAGCCAACAGATCTGGATCAAAATCTTGTAAAGGGTCTACTTAGATCATTGGCTCCTTCAAAATACAGATTCTCTTCCAAAATAAAACCTAAATTTATGATTTACACTTTTTTTTCTGGGTTAATTAGTGTGAAGTCAAGTATTGTATTTTATTTCTTGTTTTTTTGTATTTATACCTTCTGCTTCCATCACTTGCTGAATCTGGGACTAGAATTGAAATTGACTCACGTTCTGCTAAGTTCACTATTTTGGAGAACTAGTTTTAACTTCTGGACAATGGTTTCTTCAAAATTGATAATAGTATCTCAACCCATAAACTTCATAAAGTGTATCAAGAAAACCATGTGTTAATTTGGGCTGCCGTAACAAAATATCACAGGCTAGATGGCTTGAATGATAGGAATTTTATTCTCTCACAGTTAAGCAGGCTTGAAAGTCCAAGATCATGGTTGATTTTGGGTGAGGGCTTTCTTCCAGGCTTCAGAAGACTGTTTTCTCTCTGTGTTCTCACATGGTGGAGAACATGTCTGGTTCTTTTTTTTTTCTAAAGACGGAAGTCTCTAATCCTATATGATTAGGTTCTCATCCTTATGACCTTATTTAACCTTACTGGTTTTTTTGTACTAGAGATGGAACCCAGAGGTGCCTAATCACTGAGCCACATCCCTATACCCCTGGTTTCCCCTCCTTTTTTGTACCAGGGATTGAACTCAAGAGCATTTGGCTACTGAGCCACATCTTCAGCCCTATTTTGTATTTTTATTTAGAGACAGGTCTGGTTGAATTGCTTAGGGCCTGGCAAAGTTGCTGAGGCTGGCTTTGAATTCCCTATCCTCCTGCTTCAGCCTACTGAGCCGCTGAAATTACAGGCCAATGCCATTATGCCCCGCCCTAACCTTACATATCTTCTAAAGGTCTATCGCCAAATATAGTTTATCTCCAAATATAGTCATATTGGGGGCTTCAGCATATGAATTTTGCAGGGATATAATTCAGTCCATGGTAGGTATGATAACCCTCAACTTTAAACCCTTAAATCCAAAATTCACAGGCATTATTCAATTTGGATACTAATGATGGAATGTAGACAGACAGTAGTTGCTTTCCATTTTTATAGTCTACTTGTCTTAGCAAATTTGAGACTAGGTAGGGGCCATAGTTAWTCTGTGCTTTTCCTTGTGATCCTACATAAGGCAAGTTAACCACATATATCCATTAGCACTCAAGTGAATAGTTCTGAACACAGAAAACTGTGAACTTTTGAGACTTACGGTCAGGTCCAAGATCAAAAAGAAAAKAAAATATATTAATGCCTTCAACAAAAATATTGACCACGTGTCATGAATTGAGCACTGGGGAAAAGTGAACTGACATTGTTCCTGACTTAATGGAGTTTACAATCTAGGAAGGGCTACAGTTCAGATGGGGCAATACTTGTTCCTAGAAAGGTTCTTAACCCTGCAGGCTTCCCGGAACAGCGACACCTAAACTAAATCACAAAGATCTTTAGGAAAGAATGAGGCAGGTTTTTTTTTTTTTTTTTTTTTTTTTTTGGTGGTAGAGGTGATGGGACTGTAGTAGTGGAGTGTGCGTGTGTCCATGGGGGGCGGGGGCAATTTACTGATGCCCCAGCCGGTGGCTGGAGCCAGGCTGTTAAGAATGGACAGATCTAGATCAGAGGGTAACAGTTCTTTTAACTGGGCTGTTAAGCTGAGAGTGGAAAACACGCACAAGGGCGCTTTGAGGACCCTTAGACTCAGTTTATTTTAGTTGTGGCTCAAATTAAGCATAAGTCTTACAAAAAATGTTTTCCATTTCCAGGAGTTTGTTTTTCTTTKTCGCTCCCTCCCGCTACGAATCTTCAGCTGGGAGGATCCTGTTCAGGTGCACAAATCAGGAGGTAACCACCAAGGCAGTTAGGGCTGAACTCCGGACCGGACGCAGTCGGGTTTTGCTGTGGAGTTTCTGCAGCAGCGCTAAGCAGGAGCATTAAGGTCAGAGCCAGTGGGGTCGGGGAGGTAAACCGCTAGACACCACCAGGCCCAGGGCTCCTCAACCTCTGTCTTTACCTTACCGCAGCCTCATCTCCCTCAACATCCAGCACAGCACTTGATTGACAGGTAGGCTCGCCCAATCCCGGAGCGGCGCAGACCGCTGTCGCGTCGGGGACGGGGAAAGGGTATACGGAGCGTATCAGATTGGGCCGGGAAATGGTTTCCTGCCGGCGCGGCCCCGCCCTCTCGCCGCGCGGCCCGCCCCTCTCCAGAGAGCTACGCGGCGGCGGAGCGCAGGCCTCGTGCCGTAACGGCCATCCCGGCGGCCGCGGCGGTGTCCCTGTGCCCTCCTCAAGTGACTGGAGCCGGCTGGGCTCGGCAGAGGGAAGGTGAGAGGGCCTTGCCGGCGAGCACACACACTCTCTTCCGTCCCCCGTCGGTCCACACAGCCTGTTCTCGCTGCGTCGCTTCCTCTTCCCCGGCAGAGTTAGCCCCGGGGGCGCCGTCTGCCGGCGCGGAGCGGAGCCGGAGGGGGCGGGGAGGTCGCTCGGCTGAGGCTGGGCGTCTGCGCCGCGGTTCGGGGCGACCCCGCGGCCTCCCTCCTGCTCCCGGAACGCCGCCCCTGCGAGGCTGGAAGGTCGAGCGCGCGGTGCGCTGCCTCGGTGTTCCTCCTGAAAAAGTCTGGCTGCCAGCTGTGG